AACAAAGTTAATAGATAAATGACAATCTTTTATGCAAAGCCCTACTATATTTCTAGATCCGAAATATCTCGCAATAAATATTCAGATTTTATAAAATAATAAGCCTGTCTCTTATACACATCTTGTGTAATAAATATCTAAAAAAGCACCATTTTGTTTAATTTTTGTTTTCTTGTAATAAGACATAAATCGGATAAAATGGTGCTTTTTTAGACATTTATTACACATGAGCACAAATATAAAACAAATTCAACACATTTCATTTTTATAGGGTTATATAAAAGGTTATTTCGGGTAGTTAAACCTTATGCTAGAGGAAGATGAATATTTGTAGCATTACTCATTAAAATATTAAAGGCATTTTTGTGAATTTCTGCTTGAGAATTATTGATATCATTATAATCATCATTCCATATGAATCTAATATGTGTAGCCTTTAAAAAAATTAATATTTCTAAGTTTTCTTGAATTCCTTTTAATATTATATGCCAATCTTTTGAATTATCTTTTTGAAAGTCAACTGATATATTCGCATTTGGTATATCATTAGTAAAAAGAGCTAACTTTAAAAGATCAGATGAAAGTCCAGGAGGTTCAATACTTATTGCTAAAGATTTGACAATTTGTTTCCCATTTTGATATACAGAAACTACATCAGGAATTTAAACACGGCATAATATTCCGTAAGTTTACAGATTTTCATAAAATTACGTACATTTACGGCATAATGTTTCGTAGATTTATGGATTTCCGTAAATCTACGTAATTTTACGATCAAAATATTCCAAAATAATTCGTGATCGTAAATGTTCCAAAGCATTATGATCGAAATATTCCGTAGAATTACGTGATCGAAAATGTTCTGAAGCATTACGATCGAAATATTCCGTAGAATTATAATATCGTAAATGTTCTGAAGCATTACGATCAAAATATTCCAAAATAATTCGTGATCGAAAATGTTTCAAAGCATTACGGTCAAAATATTCCGTAATAATACGTGATCAAAAATGTTCTGAAGTATTATGATCAAAATATTCTGTAGAATTACGTGATCGTAAATGTTCCGAAGCATTATGATCGAAATATTCTGAAATAATTCATGATCGTAAATATTCCGAAGCATTACGATTGAAATATTTCGTAGAATTATGTGATCAAAAATGTTTCGAAGCATTACGATTAAGGTTGCTTGCTGAAACTAGAGGTTTAGGCAAGATGGCGTTTCACCGAAAAGCGAAATTCTGCCGAAACTATATTAAAGTTATACTAAAAAACTGGCGAAACTTTGGAGAAAGGTGAAACTGCCAAAACTTATTATAAATTCCGAAACTGCCAAAACTCTGCCGAAACTATAATAAATCTATAGTAAAATTTTGACGAAACTAATCGTAGAATTTTGAAGAGGTTTAGACAAGCAACCTTAATTACGATCAAAATATTTCGTAGAATTACGATATCGTAAATGTTCTGAAGTATTACGATCAAAATATTCTGTAGAATTACGTGATCGAAAATGTTTTGAAGCATTACGATCGAAATATTCCGTAGAATTACGATATCGCAATTGTTTCGAAGCATTACGATCGAAATATTCCAAAATAATTCGTGATCGAAAATGTTTCGAAGTATTACGGTCAAAATATTCTGTAATAATATGTGATCAAAAATGTTCCGAAGCATTACGATCGAAATATTCCATAGAATTACATAATCATAAATGTTCTGAAGCATTACGATCAAAATATTCTGAAATAATTCATGATCGTAAATGTTCTGAAGCATTACGATCAAAATATTCTGTAGAATTACGTGATGGAAAATGTTTCAAAGCATTACGATCGAAATATTCCATAGAATTACGATATCGCAATTGTTCCGAAGCATTATGATCAAAATATTCCATAGAATTATGATATCGTAATTGTTCTGAAGCATTACGATCGAAATATTCCATAGAATTACGATATCGTAAATATTCCAAAGCATTACGATCGAAATATTCCGAAATAATTCGTGATTGTAAATGTTCCGATTTATTATGATCGAAATATTCCGAAATAATACGTGATCGAAAATGTTCCAAAGCATTACGATCGAAATATTCCAAAATAATTCATGATCGTAAATGTTCCGAAGCATTACGATCAAAGTATTCCGTAATAATACGATATCGTAAATATTCCGATTAATTACGATCTAAATATTCCGAAATAATACGTGATCAAAAATGTTTCAAAGTATTACGATCGAAATATTCCATAGAATTACGATATCGCAATTGTTCCGAAGCATTACGATCGAAATATTCCATAGAATTACGATATCGTAAATATTCCGAAGCATTATGATTGAAATATTCTGAAATAATTCGTGATCGTAAATGTTCTGATTTATTATGATCGAAATATTCCGAAATAATATGTGATCGAAAATGTTCCGAAGTATTACGATCAAAATATTCCGAAATAATTCGTGATCGTAAATGTTCCGAAGCATTACGATCAAAGTATTCTGTAATAATATGATATCGTAAATGTTCCGATTCATTACGATCAAAATATTCCGTAGAATTACGATATCGTAAATGTTTTGAAGTATTACAATTGAAATATTCCATAGAATTACAATATCGTAATTGTTCCAAAGCATTACGATCAAAATATTCCATAGAATTACGATATCATAAATATTCCGAAGCATTACGATCGAAATATTCCGTAATAATACGTGATCGAAAATGTTCTGAAGCATTATGGTCAAAATATTTCGTAGAATTACGATATCGCAATTGTTCTGAAGCATTACGATCAAAATAATACGTGATCGTAAATGTTCCGAAGTATTACGGTCAAAATATTCCGTAATAATACGTGATCGTAAATATTAGCCCTGCTCATTTCCAGTCGGGTGCATTTTTTGGTCGGATTTTGTTGTACAAAAATTATCCAATAAAATTTTTTTATTTTCGATCGCAAATTGAACTGCTTTAGATTGAAATTTAGTTCAAACTCCTTATATTGATATGTATTTCCTGTAACTGATTTTGTTAGGATTAAAAAGGAAATTATAACTTATGTCTTTTTCTTAAATATCACGTAAACAGAAATTATCTAATTTTGGTTGGTTGTTTTTGGTATTCAAAACGGGCTAAAAGTTCAGAAAATGGTTGCGTTGTACGCCAAAAAATGCGATCGACCAGAAATGAACAGGCTATTTTGAAGCATTACAGTCAAAATATTCTGTAATAAATTCAATAACTTATATTACGCTATGTAACTTATCACATCTGGTAATTCAAGTTTCTAAAATAATCATTCTTATTTATTACAATCGTAATATTTCACATTTATACAAAATAAAGTGGCCAACTACATAATGATCAAATATATTTTACCCGAACATGTATTTATTTATTGACTTGAAAATTATCTCCTTATTAAAATAAATGGGATATTAAAATATATGGGGGGATATTAAAATATAAAAAATATATGCGTAGTTAATTATTATTTTATTTTTTATATTGTTTTTTTAATCGCCTCATTCTTTCTTTTGTCTCTTCATATGTACTACTTATATAAATTCTTCCGCCTTCCTCCTCATCTTCTTCTCTTATTTCATTTTCTTTCTCTTCTTGTAATACTTCTTCTGCTTCATCAGCTTCTTCTTTTACTTCATCAACTTCTTCTGCTTTATCAACAACTTTGTTTGTCTCTTCAGCTTCTTGGGAAGCTTCTATTTCATCATTATCGGAATATGAATAATTATCCTTACTTGAAATTTTTTCTAAGAAGTAAAACAAAATTAGTTTTTAAATATTACTATTTATTCAAATTTCTAATGCTTACCAAATTCTTCGTTAAAACGGGTTTTATGACAGATTCTGTCACCTGTATATGTAAATTTTTCGGATTTAATATAATTTCACAAATACTTATTGCATATGCAATTTGCATATTAGATAATTGATTTCTGCCTTTAAGTATTTGTAAGATTCTCGACATATATGTCTCCGGATCCAGATTCTTGATTTTTTTGAATAAATTACTGTAACAAATTTTTACGGTTGGACTCCCTTTCCATTTGTGTATCTCGCTTTCTTTTAATGCTGTGTTTACGGCAGGGATTGTGGAAAGGTTAAATTCTTTAAAAACGACATACATTATGTCTTTCACTTTAGAAGCTAAAGAACCCCGGGCACTATGATGTTTAGCTAGAAGCTAAAGAAAAGATTTTAAATTTAAATTTCAATAAATTAATGTAAAATCGTAATTTCTCAAAACTTACGGGAGAAGCAATGTTTTTTTCATAAAATATAATCCATTTATCATATCTTTTAAACCGTTTGATAAAATCATCGTAATTTTCATTCATATAATTATTAGTAAACTCTCAAATTTCATCGGGGTAGGATATATGGAAACTTCAAGTAACTTTTTAGCAACTTCTTTGATTATTTTCTATAATCAAGAATATAATAATTTAATGAGGAATTACTACTAAATGTTCAACCATGATTTACGTAAATATTTGTATTTTTGGGTCTTACCTTTATATATTCTTCATCCCCTTGATTATTATCATTATTTTTATCGACCGATTCTTCTACTTTCGATACTCTGTTTTCTAAAGCCTTTTGGTTGGAAATAATTATATCCAGTTTGGATAAAATTTTTGTATTCTGGCGCAATATTTTCGTTAAAGCTTCTTTATAACAGTAGAATATAAATAATATAAATAATAATATATTAGTAATAATTATTTTTATTTTTCAAAAATATATAATTTAACCAACCATTAATTAATTCATCGGAAGATTC